AAAAAAAAAAAAAAAAAATCCCATCCATAAACAAACTTATTTTAAAGGATTTTGGATCTTGCATATATAGCATCATCATGTTCCAGCCTTTGATGCAAATTATTACGGTCAATTGTCAATTTGGTCACTCTATAATATGTATATATTCAGCTCAATAATGAATTATCATTATTGAAGGCAATTATTTCTCTCCTAAAATTAATGGACAGTATGAAAAATACAACAAACACAAAATAATATTATTTTGTGTTATAATTTCACAACAATCGTATAGCATTAAACAACTAAATATATACTGATAGGACCTATCAAGTAAAATAATAAATCATTAATACTATGAAGCTTCATTGCGTGATAATATTACCTACCAATTATCTTTTATGTCCTCCTGAAAGTTATAGGGGTCTGCTCTAGCTAGCCTTGAAGGTGAATAGCTATATTAAAGTCGTATATGAGTGTTTTTAGTGAGTCTACAGGGTGGAAGAGGTACAATTATCTAACCCATGATCACCTAGAGAAGTGGAAATTAATATACACCAACCATTGGCCATAGGGAGATGACATCTTCTTTGAGAAGTGAGCAGTGCTTCTCCAAACGGCCTTTCACTAGAATAAAGATAAGATATAAGTTTTGTCTACCATACGTATTGCTTTTTTTTTTTTTTTTAAGGGATTACAATTTAGAAAGAAGAGATTTGAATCCTATTTTTAAGATTGTAAGTATATTTTACGATAAAATATATAGTTATTGGATTACGAAACTTAGGTGCTACCATATATATTCTACTTAATTAACTATAAAAGAAAAACTCCCATTTTTTGCATTGTTAATAGGGATAGAAAAGAACCGATAACAAACCTCATCAACATTGTGAATGGAATTGAAAATCTTAAAAGTAAGAAGCTAAGAATTTAGTATTGAAAAGTAGTATATACTTCAAACTGTTTTAAATTATATAATTAGTGACCTCCTTGATATTGGCAACTTTTTCCTCCATTTAATAGTTTTTGTTTTATAATTCAGATAATTCAATGTAATACGGATTATAAAAACCAAAAAACTCTTTCAGTATTGGGGGCATCTAAGCGTGTGATGACTGTATGTATACTTGCCTCAACGACAAAAAGGGAAATTTCTATATAAAAGCCTATGGCCCATTCTTCGGGACCCAATGAAGAGTTGTTCCAATTTCCAAACCAGACAGAACCAGCAATCAGGCCCAAAGGCAAGCTAATTTTGCTTAGCTTTATTGCTGAATTTAGTTGGGATCCAATGGCTCGTGCATTAATTCCATTCATTTTGGATGAATAGTTTCTTTTCCAAATGCAAGGATAGAGGCAAGGCAACTACCAGTGATTGTTGAATGTGGGTGCAAAATCACAGAATGGCAACTAATGGTCAACAAAGACTCATAGAAAACACTAGTATCAATAGTTTGAATGTGAGACTTTCATTTTAGAGTGGACAGATGCAGGTCGTTGCCTATACAGTTACGGTTTGAATGTCTTCAGAAATAAAGACAGTAATAGTAGGTAGTAATGGCAATGACAATATTCAAGCATATGAATTCCAATTGCCATTGAGGCCACTCTAGGAACTTCAATTAAAGTAGTTCAGATGACACTAGAAGTAACTAGGTAAAACATTTGAGAAAGGCAATTTACAACTCAATAGTGAACAGGTAGCCAGATCAGAGCTTGCAACCTTCATCCTAAAGTCTCTCAAAATTTCCACAGAGTAGCATCCACAGTGGAATTTCCCTATTCCCATCATTTCTGCATGTAAACTTAAGCATACATCACGGAAATAAATTTTAAAACCAAAGAAAAAAAAATGTCTGAAGAATATAAGAGCAATGAACCAACAGTTGAAGCTTAAAACAAGTACTCTGCCAACTGTTTACTCTTTCAATGAAAAAATAATAGTTCACAAAAAGCTTAAAACAAGTACTCACGCCACTTCACATGTTAAATGTTACTATCATTTCCACCCTTAATTAACACATACCCCAAGCTGCAGGATAGATAAAAAAGTTGGGTTCCAGTACTGTTCCAGTTGCTTTGGATAACAAAGGCAGGCAAATATTCTTTTCCCCTTACTGAAATAACAGATAGGGAGATATTATTGAGGAGACAACATAACCACCATAATGAAGTGCTTTTAAGATAAACATCATTATCTCAACATATTTGAGCACTTTAAGAAAGCTGTTTCAATCAGTTTGCAAAAGAAAAAACTGTAGAATAAAATGTTATTTCTTGCTCGTTATATATAACTTTGCATTTTTGGTCAGCTAGTACCATAGAGATTACAAACCTTGCATGACTTAAAACACTTAACTTGGCTCTTAAATGTCATTTCTAACCGTAGAATTGTTTAATCTTTCTGAAGAAGAAAACATAATCAAAGTCCTTGAAGTAGTTAAATGCCTCAGAAATCCTAGAATTTGAAAAGTATAATAATTCTTGCTTGAATCTGACGCAATCACTGCTGGGAACAAAATGAAAAGCTAGACAGCTAAAAAGTATATCACCTCCTCAGTCCTCCTCTATGACCATCAAATATTTTTTAGCACTCTCCATATATCCCCAATTTTTGCATGCGTCCATAAATTATACACAACACTGCATTCAAAGAGACTGCATCAATATCAGACAAGGGCTGAAAGACAGCTCCCAACTTAAAATTGGATGGGGTTAATGAGCAAGAAGAAATTATAAGAACCATTGCAGAATGCAGAGTTGGATTTTGCTTAATCAGCGAACGCAAGAATCTCCGTCTTTGGAACAAACTAAACATCTCTGCTGACCTAACTTCTTTGCCCGTGAGCCATTTACTTCCAAAGCGGCATTTTATCAAACAACTCTCGCAGCTAGACAAGAATGTAATCTCATTTGCCTGAAAAAATTTTTATCAAAAAAATTTTTACCATTGAGTTTTAATATAAGAATAATAAAAGTAATTAATGTATTATTATTATTGTTGATACTCAATAATAATATAGTAATTGAAATTCAATAATAAAAATTAAATTTTTAATTAAAAATTAATATACATTAATAATAATATTGATAATTTTATACAAAAATTAATTATCAATTACACAAGTTAATATATTTATAAAAAATTTACATCCATAAAAAGAAAGAAAGAAAAACTTACAAATGAGAAAGAAGAAAACATATTTAGAATGGTATATCCATTCTTCCACCTAAAAAAATATAATAAAGTAATTAGAAAGTTAAGAAAAAAATGAAAACATCTTTAAATCACACAAAAAAACTCCAAGAAAATTGAAGTATAATCACATATCATATATTGTGTTAAAACATCTCCCCTACAAAAACACAAGAAACAAAAACAAAAATAATATTTTAAATTAACTATTATATAATATGATACAAATTAATAGTGTAAAAATTGAAAAAATGACACAAAATCATTTACCTTATATAAGAGATTCTCTCAATGTATAAACCTACAACTGAAATGAAAAAATTAGTTTAAGTACAAATTAAAACTTTAAATTAGTAAAACCATACAAAATATTTAAAAAAATAATAAAATAGAAGAATTTATGGGTTAAAGAATATACCATTGGATTGTGACAAAAATTTCATGAGAATGAATTTAGTCTATGAAAAATAAGAAGAGTAAGAAAGTAAGAAAATGAGAAGAGAATAGGAAGAAGAGACAAATGAATCTAAAGAAGAAGAGAAATGGTGTAATGACAAGAACTATTATAGGTGATATATATATATATATATATATATATAAACATTTGCGTTGGCCAATATGATTTTGCTTTAACATTGTCGATATAGACAATAATTCAGTCAAAAGTGGGGGGAAGATTAGACAGGTTTTGAAAATTTTTGAAAATTTC